CCGATAGGAGGACAGACTACACAGTCACGTGAGAAGCAAAACTCAATCACATCTTTTTTAACAAATAAAAAACTGAATAATTGGGCGTGCAAAATTATTCAGCCCCTTTACTTTCAGTGCAGCAAACTCTCTCCAGAAGTTCAGTGAGGATCTCTGAATGATCCAATGTTGACCTAAATGACTAATGATGATAAATAGAATCCACCTGTGTGTAATCAAGTCTCCGTATAAATGCACCTGCACTGTGATAGTCTCAGAGGTCCGTTTAAAGCGCAGAGAGCATCATGAAGAACAAGGAACACACCAGGCAGGTCCGAGATACTGTTGTGGAGAAGTTTAAAGCCGGATTTGGATACAAAAAGATTTCCCAAGCTTTAAACATCCCAAGGAGCACTGTGCAAGCGATAATATTGAAATGGAAGGAGTATCAGACCACTGCAAATCTACCAAGACCTGGCCGTCCCTCTAAACTTTCAGCTCATACAAGGAGAAGACTGATCAGAGATGCAGCCAAGAGGCCCATGATCACTCTGGATGAACTGCAGAGATCTACAGCTGAGGTGGGAGACTCTGTCCATAGGACAACAATCAGTCGTATACTGCACAAATCTGGCCTTTATGGAAGAGTGGCAAGAAGAAAGCCATTTCTTAAAGATATCCATAAAAAGTGTCGTTTAAAGTTTGCCACAAGCCACCTGGGAGACACACCAAACATGTGGAAGAAGGTGCTCTGGTCAGATGAAACCAAAATCGAACTTTTTGGCAACAATGCAAAATGTTATGTTTGGCGTAAAAGCAACACAGCTCATCACCCTGAACACACCATCCCCACTGTCAAACATGGTGGTGGCAGCATCATGGTTTGGGCCTGCTTTTCTTCAGCAGGGACAGGGAAGATGGTTAGAATTGATGGGAAGATGGATGGAGCCAAATACAGGACCATTTTGGAAGGAAACCTGATGGAGTCTGCAAAAGACCTGAGACTGGGACGGAGATTTGTCTTCCAACAAGACAATGATCCAAAACATAAAGCAAAATCTACAATGGAATGGTTCACAAATAAACATATCCAGGTGTTAGAATGGCCAAGTCAAAGTCCAGACCTGAATCCAGTCGAGAATCTGTGGAAAGAACTGAAAACTGCTGTTCACAAACGCTCTCTATCCAACCTCACTGAGCTCGAGCTGTTTTGCAAGGAGGAATGGGCAAAAATTTCCGTCTCTCGATGTGCAAAACTGATAGAGACATACCCCAAGTGACTTACAGCTGTAATCGCAGCAAAAGGTGGCGCTACAAAGTATTAACTTAAGGGGGCTGAATAATTTTGCACGCCCAATTTTTCAGTTTTTTATTTGTTAAAAAAGTTTGACATATCCAATAAATTTCGTTCCACTTCATGATTGTGTCCCACTTGTTGTTGATTCTTCACAAAAAATTACAGTTTTATATCTTTATGTTTGAAGCCTGAAATGTGGCAAAAGGTCGCAAAGTTCAAGGGGGCCGAATACTTTCGCAAGGCACTGTATTGGGAAGGAAGCAAACACATTAGAGAGGGACATGGGACAAAGGGAATAAACAAAGTGTTGGCGAAAGGGACAAATATATAAGGCTGGGACTCCTAAAGGACTAAGATTCAGAGGTACCAACAGCCAAGGAAAAGAGTGGTCCCAGGATGGCTGATGGTCCAGCACAGGAAACCTGTGGGACGGGGAGGACAGGAAGAAGAAGAGAGACATAACTAGGTTACTAGACACACTCAGACTGAAACCCACCAGTGGGAGCATACTAGCAATCCATGAACTTGTCTTAACTAAAGATGACATTTTCCCTATTTAGCATATATCTTAAATAGTGGAATCTATTTGTTTATATGCTTATTCAAAGCACATTTGATGAAAATACACTTACATAATTAGAACTACTGAGTGTTTCAGTGTCCACTACTGCTTTAAGTTATTTGTTGCAAAAGTTGACAGGTTGCTGGTTTGATATTGCTGTAATATATGGTAATGTTGGTGTTGCATTATGGGTTTGACTATGCTAACTTCTTCATGTGATGATTCATTTTGCTGCATTATGACTCTTTGATGGGACAAATTTGAATTCAGGGTTGAAGTGTTCCGTCTTTTGTGGACTCTTTTGTTATGCAGATCATTGCATAAATGGCACAGAGTTACTTTTATGCACACGGTAAGTTTGAAAACATTGGTATTTGTGCCAGAAGCATAAAACAAACCACTGAATACCACTCACTATTTCACGATGTTGTATCAGCATTACAGTTGCCCTGCAGAATTTGGCAATACAATGCTGCCATAACAACACGATGTGGTAGCCATTAAAACATTGCACTATGGCATGACTGCTTCGACAGTGCACTTCACAGATGCCTTTTAGATCAAACTGTGCCCTGGCTGTAGTACAGCTTGGCACACCAGCAGCCTCATCCCTGTTCCATAAACCTTTGACTCGTTCTCTTTTTGCTTCCTCTCTTCTTTTACTCTGCCTTTCTCCTCTCCTCTCTCCACCCCTCTCTGATTTCTTCTCCCTTTGCTTCACTGTGTGTCAGTAAAGCCAAGAGAGTGGAGAGAGAGAGAGACCTGCTTTCTGCTGGCTCTGCATTGTGTGAGGGGGAGAGCAAAGCTGAGGAAAGATAGGACCAAGAAAGAGGAATGTGAGAGAGTGAGTGCTAGCAGCAGTTAAACAGTGAGCCTATGCCAAGAGGAGGAATGCAGCACTGCATTATGAAAGCCATAGAATATAGGTCCAGCTCTGCGTGAAAGATAAAGAAGAGAAGAATGATTTAGAAGGTAAAAGGTATGTGTGTGCAGGTATGTTATTACAGTATAAGCTAAGTAAATTATGAATACATCACCCCCTGTTACCAACCCAGTCTCATAGCAAAATGTACATCCACAGCACAGTACTAGTCTCACAATAACGCCTCTGAAATTGTGACATTGCAGCATTTTCTGGATCAAAAATTGTGACATGGCAATGTCTTTCTGGCAGCAAAAACAAAACAAAAGAAAATGTTATGTTTAGACACCAAAACTACATGTTTAAGGATAGGGAAAGGCCCTGAGTTCGATTAAAACCTCTCAAATGAAAAGAACAATGCCATGCACAGGGTAAGGTCTGTGATTGTCTGTGCGAAAGTCAGGTGTTAGTTTCACCAGTTTATTCTACCCAACCATCACCTCTTACCTTTCTATAGTTAATAACCCTTCAGTGGACAACAAACGTTACCTTCCCGATCCACACTCCAGACTAGCTGGTGACAGTAATGCACCTTTTTGTTGTTTGCTAACTGCCATAAAACACCAAAAAGAAAAACACAAAGAAGGAGACTGGGCAACACTGGCATGTCTGAATTTTACAGCCTTTATTGTGACATTACCTTTTATGCTGTGGACCAACATACAGTAGCTATTGTACATTTTCATGTGAGGCTGAGCTGGAATGTAATGGAACAAAGTATAAATACTTATTTCTTCAAGTATGAAAAATATTATTATCAGGGGGCTTCTCAGTCTTGAGGGCCTATGTTATAAATGAGTTTTTGTAAGCCAGATGCAAAAAAAATATCCAAAATAAATGGAAAACTCCTCCTCCCCCTAGTCTAGGTGTGGGAAGACGAATCATCTAGAGCTTCACTGACACAAAGTACCACAAACACCGATCTCTCTGCATCTCTTCATTAAGGTCACATCATTAACATTTAGGGAAGGGAAGATGAGCAGAAGAGCACGGGCGAAGGAAAAACAGGGTTTGTTAGACTTACCATGCGTGATTTTTAGGTCAGCCTGAGGCCACACTTTGCTCCATACAGCTGCCTCTCTGCAAGCAGGGGGCTCCAGCCTTGGCATGGAGCTGTGTTGCCACTAGCTATTTTGGGGCCAAACTGATTTTAGCCACTCACCTTCTAGCATTATGTAATGTCTTTTTTCACAGTCCTAATCTGAAATATTGGAATAAATATATTAAATCAGCATCCATAGATTTATGATTTAGAGTAGCATGATGTGTTTGTCTGTAGATTTGTGAGTCCATATAGAGCTTTTTTTGAAAGCCAGTTGCCTTTGATTGAGACATATAATAAAATGTCACCAGTTACCTAAAAATATATTGTCATGGACATTAAAAAGGATTTGCATTGAATGCATCCTGTTTTGGATATACATTTGTTTTGTGCTCAAAATCTAAAATGGTTGCCAGTGCAGTAGCTGTGCAGTTCATGTATTTCTGGTACCAAGTGAGGCAAAAGTCATCTCAGCTCAGAGTTGACTTTAGTAAAAATCAAAAATTTATCTCATTTCACAATGAGCATTCCTTTGTCTGTTTGCATCGTTTACTGCCTGTTTATACTGCTTAGTGTGTTGCTTGTTAATACTGTTTATTTTTTATACTACACAGCCCTATGTTGGTTTACTGTTTACTTGCCCCTTGCATGGGGATATGTACATACACATTGAGAACCGATGTACCAGAGTCAAATTCCTCGTGTGTCCAACACACCTGGCCAATAAAGCTGATTCTGATTCGGATTTTGATCATTATCCAGAAAATGATACTCCACATAATGTAACTTGTAAATAGGACAGGTTTAACCAGTCCAAGGTTTGTGTGACCCACCCATCCAGTCTAACTAACATGCACTTTCTCCTTTTATAAACTACTGTAAATGTACGACCAGACCTGTTGCTCTGGGCATCAAATATTGATGCTAGTGTGTTAACACTGTTCTCTTCTGGAAACCCTGTGTCACATTCAGACACCAAAGGATCTGTATGGAAAATGAGTTTGACAAAGCCTTGGTATTGATGCCCTGGGTACAGGGCATATACAGGCTGGTGGTGGAACACGTGTGAAAATATATAAATGATAAATTGATATGATCATTTTGATCAGCTTACTCAGTGGTTCGACAGAAAACAGTTCTAGCTAAGTTAAGAAGTTTAACAACTGGCTCCTAACAGTTCCTTTTCTCTATTGTCCAGGAGGGTCAGGAGCTGATCCAGGAGAAGCCAGAGTTGCGTTCAGTCGTACAGCAGAAACTGGAGGAGATCCGAGAGTGCTGGTCTGACCTGGAGAGCACGACCAAGGCCAAGGCCCGACAGCTCTTTGAAAACAACAAGCCCGAGCCAGCAGTGAAGAGCTACTCAGACCTCGACAACCAGCTCTCACACCTGGAGCAGCAGCCCCCTCAGCTGGAACAGGCACACCATCTGCCCACCTTCAATGAACAGCTCCAGAAATTCCAGGCAAGTTTCAAGGCTCTCCAGGGTCACTTTGAGAGGGTTTTGCCACGTTTCTCAAAACACAAATGTTTTTTTTTATATGTGAACCATTTTCACATGTGAAAGAGAGCTGCTCTGATGATGAAGTTGTTGAGATACAGCACCACCCACTAGTATATCTTTAGTCATGCCTAGCACTTTGGCATCCTTTGCAATGACCTACATAACTGCATATTTACACTCAAATGCAAAGTTTGCACTACTAATCTTTTTCTATCTTTTTCTTTTTACTGTGACATACTGTATATACAGTACATCTGACATGTTTATACAGAGGAACACAGCCCACCTACGCACCAATGCTAAAGTGTATACAAGCACCTTTACATTTTGAATTTTAAACCAGAGTTGGAAAAGGGGTTTGGATATTTTTACTTAGTTATATTGTATATTGTACTGTACTTAGTTATATTTCACCAGTGAAAACATTTTCTGCTTCTTTGATTCCTCCCTTTGACATTTAGCTCAAGCAAGATTTTTTTCTGTCTCCACTGCACCTTAGTTATACAAACATAAGACATGTTTGTATAACTAAAACTCACTGATATAGCTAATGTGTTTGACAAATTGTGTAGTTCAGCTCAGTATATTTTATATCATTTGCTCTTGCTCTGATATGTGTCTACACAGGCTGCTGTTGTGGCCTGTTCCTAAACATGAGGTTTAGTGGCATTAAAAAATTCACCATATGCTTTTTTTCCCCTCAAAGTGATGCAGCCTCTTGCATCCTCTGAAATGTTCAGTTAGGAAAACAGCTGATGTGTTGTGTTTGCCCATAGCTGTACCCTGACCTTCCTTTTCCTTCCGGTGCAGGCTATGGAGTCTCAGATAGGGGACTTTTACAAAGATGTGGGAGAGGTGGGAAGCTTGCAGGGGGTCTGCCTACCCCAGCGAGGACTGATGGCAGGTGACAAGGAAAGTGGTGAGCAGTCAGGCATGGTAGAAACACGCATCGTCCGCCTCATTGAGCCCCTGAAGGAAAGACGCCGCATCCTACTGGCTTCAAAAGAGATGCACCAAGTGGCTCAGGATCTGGAGGATGAGATAGTGAGTGACACACTTCTTTTCTCTGAGTTCACTATGCTTTCATTTAACATATTTCCTCTTCCATATAGACTTTTTAAAATGACCTTTTTCACATTTGTCAGAGATAGTTTATTTAGTTATATGGTACTGAAGCTGAAATATCTTAGGAATTGATGCATCATGTGTCTCTCTAATGGTTTCCAGGTTTGATACTGTACACAGATCCTTATCTTTATAGATCCTTGTTTATGCATTCTGAAAAATGTAATAACCCAACTCTGGTTACTTGATAGCTGTGGATTCAGGAGAGGCTTCCCTTGGCCTCCTATAAGGATTATGGGAATAACCTCCAGAGTGTACAGCAGCATGTAAAAAAGAATCAGGTAAGTGTCAAAGTTGACATTTTGTCATGGTCAGCTGAAATGGGACCTACCCCCCTGCTCAGTCTTGGAACTTGTGTCTGACTGGCTTTTCAGACACTCCAGAGGGAGGTGACAGGGCGGCGGGCTCGTGTTGAGGAGGTTCTAGACCGGGCAGGAATTATTGCTTCGCTGAGGACACCTGAGGTGGACTTTATACGTGAAGGGGCGGGACATGTGCGCCAGCTGTGGGAGGTTTTGCAGCTGGAGACGGAGAGGAGGTCTGTGATGCTGGATGCCACACTGCAGGCTCAGCAGTACTACAGCGAGGCGGCTAAAGTGGAGTCCTGGCTGTCAGGTCAGAAGCTCCATCTGGTCAATGAAGAAAAAGGCACGGTACGGACAGCCCTGACATTCATGTAGATATTTGGTAACCTAAATCCTAAATGAACTCATGACACTAACATTGTGACATTATTCTGATATTTTTCAGGATGAGGTGAGCACCCTGCAGCTGCTCAAGGCCCACCTGGCTCTGGAGCAAACAGTGGAAACATATGCAGAGACAGTAGGCATGTTGTCTCAGCAATGCCAGCATCTACTGGAACTGGGACACCCAGAAAGGTGTTGTATGGCCGCCCTTACATGTGCACTCACAAAGCAGCACACATGGCCCAAGAAAAGTTTGATCTCTAATGGACCTGTTCTATCTACTGTTTAGGATGATATAAGGGTAGCATTGTCAATATTATTCTTGTTGGTTGCTGTAACATTTTCAACAGTGAGCAGATCACCAAGCAGCAGTCCCACATAGACCGGCTGTATGTGTCTCTGAAGGACATGGTGGAGCATAGGAAGACTAAACTGGAGCAGCAGTATTGGCTGTATCAGCTCAACAAGGATGTGGAGGAGTTAGAGAAGTGGATCACTGAGCGCGAAGCAGTGGCCAGTTCCACTGAGCTGGGCCAAGACCTCGAGGACGTCACGGTCAGTCCATCAGCACAGTCTTAATTCCTGAAACAAATCCTTTATCTTTAATTTTCATCAGTGTTGCTTACCTACGCACTTAATTAGAGGTACAGTATATTTGTCAGTAGTACTAACATGTGGCAACAATTTTAACATTGTAGACTTTATAATCCACTTCACTATAAGACTGTCATAAAACAGACAATTTAGCTTAAAAATCAGTTAATACAGAACACAGAATTAAGTTATACAGTAAGTCTAAACCAACCAGTTTTCTGATATATATGTTAGTATTCCTCTGCTTAAAGATATACTTACAATATTTGGTTTTGGCTTTTTAGTAGATAATAACATCCATCCATGCATTACCTATACCGCTTATTCCCGAATAGGGTCACGGGGGGCTGGAGCCAATCCCAGCTGACATTGGGGAGGAGGCGGGGTACACCCTGGACAGGTCACCAGTCTGTCACAGGGCTGATAAATAGTAATATATAAATAGTATTTCATGTTTTAGCCTTATATTAACAAAATTAATTGATTTTAATGTTATTTTAACATACCAAATATTATTATATTATGACCACAACATAAAAATTTATACCAAATATGTTGTGGACCACAAAGTCTTTAATATTGTGATTTTAACCACCGTGTTCTGTCTTTAAGTATGCAGCTAATCAAAAGTTATTTTTTATGGCTCCTTGAATTAATTAGCAGTTGTCCCCTGTACATAACACCAGACTTTTATACTGTATGCTTCGGGTTATGTTTGGCTTGAGTTAAAGAGATTAGGTTCTTCTAATTGAATACTACTATTTTAATAGTAGTTTAGAAATTCATTTTAAGAAACACTGATGATTCTTTCTGCAGTCCTGACTCTCCGCTGGAGTCTGTTCTTGTCCTATTTGGTTGCTGAGCCAAACCAGACAGTGATGGAGGTGCAGAGAACAGACTCGATGATTCCTCTGTAGAACTGTATCAGCAGGTTGAACTTCCTGAGCTGGTGTAGGAAGTACATCCTCTGCTGTTCCTTCTTGATGATGTTGTTGATATTGGACAACCACTTCAGGTCCTGGGAGATAGTGGAGCCCAGGAAGTCCTTGAAGTCCTCCTGAAGTCCATTGTCATCTCCACTGTCTTGAGTGTGTTCTGCTCCAGGTTGTTGCGGCTACACCACAGGACCAGCTGCTCAACCTCCCATCTGTACACAGACCCATCACTGTCTCAGATGAGGCCAATGACCATTGTGTCAGCTGCAAACTTTAGGAGGTTAACAGAGGGGTCCTCTGAGATGCAGTCATTTGTGTAGACGGAAATCAGCAGTGGGGAGAGCACACAACACTGGGGGGCACCTGTGCTGATTGTCCGGGTGCTGGATGTGGTTTTCCCCAGCCTCACCTGCTGCTTCCTGTCTGTCAGAAAGCTAGTAATCCACTGACAGGTGGGTGCAGGCACAGTGAGCTGGGTCAGTTAGGAGTGGAGGATGTCCGGGTTGATGGTGTTGTATGCTGAGCTGAAGTCCACAGTCGAGGGAGTCGAGGTGTTTCAGGATGTAATGCAGTGCCATGTTCACTGCATCGTCCACTGACCTGTTTGCCCAGTAGGCAAACTGCAGGTTGTCCAGCAGGGGGTCTGTGATGTCCTTCAGGTGGGTGATGCAATGTTTTGATGACCGCCCATTTATGCCAACTATAAACCTATTGTCAGGAATGTGTCTGATATAAATGACACCAATATACAATTAAAACTTGTTTTTTACTGAAAGAACAGAAGAAACATGAGAGAGCAAAACTATAAATGCTATAAAGTCAATCACTTGTTTGTGAAAAGTTGGGATGATATAGTAGGACTAAATGATAATTGTGGACTTTTATAACTTTCCATATATTTTTCCAAAATGAAACAAGATCATTGTAAAATAAAAACTAAGAAAACACAACTGTTTTGTTTGGATTATGGATGGATTATGATGGAGCACAGTTCTTCCAGGTTAAGCTACAATAGATGGAAATACACTGATCTGCCATAACATTCTGACCACTGGCAGGTGAAGTGAATAACATTGATTGTCTCATTACAGTGGCACCTGTCAGTGTGTGGGGTACATTAAGCATCAAATGAACATTCAGTCCTCAAAGTTGATGTGTTGGAAGCAGGAAAAATGGGCAAGTTTAAGGATCTGAGTAACTTTGGCAAGGGCCAGACTGTGATGGTGAGATGACTGGGTCAGATCATCTCCCACACTGCAGGTCTTGGTGGGTGTTGTTGGTCTGTAGTGGTTAGTACCTACCAACAGTGTCTAAGGAAGGACAAATGGTGAACTGGAGACAGGGTCATGGACGCCCAAAGCTCACTGATGATGAGGTTGACCTACTGTAGATTAAACTTTTAAATTTCATTCATTTGTTTTTCAAAAAAAAAAATTTGTTTGAACCTTTGTTAAAATGGTTGAAAATGAGAAATACTGTGCATTGGTCTCAATGAAGACAAACATTCAGTGGCTATACTTAGAGTGGGGAGGCTGTTGAATCTGTCTAAAAAATTCTCTCTAACTTGTGCTCATGACCAGAGATGTCATTCCTTTTACATAGGTTTTTCACTGAATGGTCTACACGTTTGTGCTCTTCCTGAAAGCAGTATTATGGAAGCAAACTGATTGACAGAAGATGCACTGTGAGCTGCTGAGTGACACAAGTGCCAACCCTTTGCCGCACTGGCTCCTGTGTATACAGTGTTTGTCAGGTGGTCATAATGTTATAGCTGATCGGTGTATAATTGGCATAATGGAAAAATACATCTTGTCAAAAATTAATATTATGAGACTCACAGAGGTTTTATTTATTGCAAAATTGTTATATCAAAATAAATTCATTCATGTAATTTTGTCCAGGCCCTGTAGTGTTAGTGTAGTTTATGTGTTTCAGGTGCTTCAGGAGAGGTTCACCAAGTTTGCCTCAGAAACCAACAGCATTGGCCAGCAGCGCATGGAGCAAGTGAACAAAATGGTGAATGAGATGATCGACTGCGGTCACTCAGACGCAGCCACCATTGCTGAGTGGAAGGATGGACTGAATGAGTCATGGGCTGACCTCCTAGAACTAATGGAGACCCACAGGCAGATGCTGGCAGCATCACACCAGCTCCACAAGTTCTTCACTGACTGCAAAGAGGTACAATCAAAACAAATAACAGTCTCTGACTTAGGTGTACCGTATTCTTCATTGCCATTTCAAATATAGACAGTCTGGCTGTGACATGTGCCTTCTATTTTTAATGATGTCGTGATGACACCACTGTCCTGTCTTATAGGTCTTGGCCCAGATCGCAGGAAAGATGAAGCAGCTGCCAGAGGTGAGGGCATGCCAAGCCAACATCACCAATCCAGCCACCCTGCAGAGACTCATGCACTCCTTTGAGCATGCCCTTCAGCTGCTAGTTGCACAGGCAAGTGATATGACAGAGAGTAGTTGTTGTTCTTGAGGTCAAGGATGAATGGATATGAACATTTGACCAAAAACACCTCACTGGCCCTAACCCAGCTTCTAGGCTATATATGGGCTTTATATGATTGAAAGAGGCTGTTCAGTTTTACCAATAGTCAGGAACCTAAAGTAAGTCTGTTTCAATTCAGATGATTTTCTACAAACATCACCATTCTTCTGCATTGTGTCTACTTAAACAGATTTTAGTATGATGAAAGAACTAACGCTGTTCTTGGTGCAGGTGAGGCAGCTGCAGGAGAACGCTGCCCAGCTGACGACCATTTATGCTGGTGAGAAAGCTGAGGCCATCATGGTCAAAGAGCAAGAAGTGATGGAGGCGTGGAAGGAGCTGCTGAGCTCTTGTGAGGCCAGTCGCGTCCAGGTCACTTCAGTAACTGACAAGGTGCAGTTTTTCTCAGAGGTGCGTGAAAACCTGATGTGGATGGAAGGAATCATGGGCCAAATTGGATGGGATGAGCCCAGGTAAAAGATCACTTATATTGTTCAGCTAAGCACTGTTTGCTCTTTTTGTGTTGAAGTGTGTTTGAACAAAAACACTAATGTTTACAGCATGTTGTCCAGGTTTTGGCGTCATATTTTCAGTGTTCAATTAACCTGGAACTCTCTGTGGTCTTGTGCAATCCTGGTGGACAGAAGTTCCTTTCTGTGCAGTGTCGAATTAGGCTGCGGTGCCACCTTGACCTAATTTCAAATGATATTTGTTATTGAGTTTCTCATATGATGCAATTGAAGGCTTTAAATTTTGCAGTGTAATCAATGCCATTATTTGTCATTTTTACCAACCAGTTCCACTGTGCAATAGGCTTGGAGCACTTCCAACTTGGCTTGAAATCTTCTAGCAGATGTCAATATGTATCAACATAAGCATGAACACACAGCACTATGGGACTGGTAAAGATGGCAAAACATATGTACACATACAGGAAACAGCTGCAACTAACATTTTCATCAATTATAAATCAGTTATCAATAAAAAATCATCAGCAAATATTTTGATAATTGATTATAGTTTCAAAGCCAAAAATTTACATTGTCTTATACATATGTGGAGATTTACTGTGATAGTCAGCTGAATACGTTTTTTGGACTGATGGTTGGACAAGACAGGACACCTTAAGATGTCACCTTGGAGATAATGAAATTGTTTGAGGCATTTTTCAGTATTTTCTGCCATTTCACAAACTATCAATTAGTTAATAAATAGATGAATCAGCCCTACTTCAATAGTTGGTGGTTTTTAATCAGTTAATTATTTAGTCTATCAAATGTCAGAAAAAGTCCAAGATGTGGTCTTCAAATTGTTTGTTTTGTCTGGAAATAGAGAAAAGCAGCAACTATTATATGTCTATGAATAGAGCGTTCTGTAATATTGTAAAACCCTTTGAGGCAAATTTGTGATGCTGAGCTATATCTATGAAATCTAATTGATTTGACAAATGCTAACACTCATGAAGCCGAAACCAGTAAATGTTCTGTACTTTTTCTTATTGAACGACTTAAGTGATTCATTTAGCATTAAATTGTTTATAAATTTTTAGTGGATCTTAAAAACATAACCACAACATTTCTGGTTCACATACATCCTATGCATCTTCCCCTTCTCTCCCGCTCCACATTTCCTATGTATCTCCACTTAATACACAGGAAGCCAAATTTAGGATTCATCCTATGAGCCACATGAACATCTGTACCAAATTTCATGGCAATCCATCCAATAATTGTTGAGACATTTTATTAAGACGCAAAAATGGCCAGTCCAAAGTCATTAGGTACAAAGATGCACCAGCCAGCAGACTGACACTGCCATCTCTGGAGCCACACCACTAACATGGCTAAACATTCTGAGGATCAACTAATCAATTATCTTTGTAGTAGTACTAGTGCAGTATACAGTGTCTAAAGGATGTTTCTGTAAAACAGGCAGCTAACACTTTGCAGCTATAAGGATTCCCTAAAATAATTTATTGCTTGATTCTAATTAGAAAAACCTGATTTATCCTTCCTCAGGGATTTGACGGCTCTGGATGTGATGATGAAACAACACCAGGAGCTGAAAGTCAAAATAGACAGCCGCAGCAAGACATTACAGCAGTGTGCAGAGCTCGGCAAGATCCTGATAGCTGCAGGCAATCCTGCATCTGAGGAGGTCAGGCTAACAGGAATTACTATCACGCATGCTACAAAAATACATAAAACCCATGCAGTATTCATTAAGATTTAGCAGTATGTTGTTATGCTCATGACTGTAGTCTGTGTGTCACCACAGATAAAAGAGAAGTTGGACAGCCTGCTGTCGAAGCAGAAGGATCTTTTTGAAAAATGGGACAAACACCAGGAAAGGTTACAGCACAGTGAGTAACTCACTCGACAATCAGAGCAGATGCAGCTCTATACACAACACAATGTTAAATGTCAAATGGACTCCAACTATAAAGAATGTTTCCACTTCATTCTGTTAATGTGCATATTAAGGTTTCATGAATATTGTTGTTCCTTTTGTTTAAACATTGTACAATTCAGTCTAGCAGAGCCTCAAATGAGATAAGCATCTGAGATATGCTCTAAAACATAATGTACACACTGGAGCATACATTAAAATGTGGTGTGATGGTAGCCATGCTGTTGGTCTGCTGTCACTTCCAGAGCAGGAAAAGTTCCAGTTTGCTCAAGAGACAGTAACGGCAGAAGCCTGGCTGAAGGCCAAGGAGCCTCTGATCACCTCCAAGGAGCCAGAGGGAGGAGGGGCCCAGGCCCAATCAGATGAGGCTGAGCAGCTCATCCTTCGCCACGAGGCCTTTCGCAAGGCTGCTGTTACTTGGAAAGAACGCTTCAGCTCTCTTCGTCAGCTATCTGTAGTAAGTTTTACTCTGGATCACTGTTTAATCAGTTTGGAGGAGTCACAATGCTGCTACAGGGAAAAAGTGTGACCTTGGGGTGTTGTGTTTGCCTAACAGACATGGGCACATGCATCGCTATGGGGTTAAAGCTGTCTCACTACTGCATGTGGTGTATTCTCACTCACTGGATCTCATCTGTTTTTCATGCTATATTGTTTAGAAGCCAACAAAGCACTGCTTGGATTAAATATTTTGATAACTTATTATACCTCCGTGTTATTGGATCCATCCTACCTTTGATTTCTTGTTTTCATTTGGTTTATGAAGTGATATAAATTATTTACCTATTCCTTTAGGCTGAGAAGAAAAAAGAAGAGGACAAAAAGACAATCCCACTCTCCAGCCGAAGGATGTTCCCATTATCTTGTCTAACTCCCGGTGTTCCCTCAACCAGTGCTACCTCATCTTTTTTGAGGCAGACAGTGCAGGCACACATAGAACCCCAACCACTGGGTACCACTCCTGGAACCCAGAGATTGTCCTCAACATTAGCCAGCTATAACCCAGTTATAAATGGATCAGGTTACCATGGACTGGAACAGCAGTGCAGTGGGAAGTTGGTGAGCTCCTCATACCTTGCGATGAACAACCAGGCAGCCGGAGGTGGAAGTGACTCCGGTTTCTCAGCATTAACCTCCCAGAGTGGTGGAGTAGACACCTCTATTTACCTTGGGATAAACCATCAAACTACTGGCAGTGCAGAAAGCTCTGGGTACTTTGGACTGACAACTGGGTGTCTTGGTGGTGTGCAAAAGCATCTAGGCAGTGGCAGATTAGGAAGTTTGAGTAACATAGCTCAGCAACCAAGCAGTGGAGGTATGGGCAGCCCTGGCTTTGTGCCTCAACAGAATATGGGCAGTTCTGGATATTTGGCCCAGCCACAAAATTTGGGAAGCTCTGGATATCTGGCGCAACAGCCTAATATGGGGAGTTCTGGGTACCTAGCACAGAATTATCAAAGCAGTGGGGGACTGGGTAGCTCAGGCTTTCTGGCACAAAATCATTACAGCAGTGGAAGCCTGAGCAGCTCTGGTTATCTGGCGCAGAGTGGTGGCATCATGGACCCTAAAATGGCATATGCATGGCAGCACCTAAAAGCTGACTTTATGCAGCCCAGGATCAATCACATCCACAAAGCTATAAACCCCCTCCTAGAAGCCAGCAGAGTGCAGCGAGAACAGTTTGGAGACATCCCAATGGTAGACATAATAGGCCCAGAGTCAGGACTGGAACTCCTACATGGCCGTCTCCAGAGGGATCCCCGTGGCAGCCGTTCTGACCCTCAGATGGACCATCTGAGACGAGAGAGGGAGTACAAGCTGGGTAGACAGACCTCCAGCGAACAGGAGATCCAGGCAAGGCTGAATGAGTTGCCAATGATTGTGCGACAGGAGCGCTACCGAAGGCGCCTGGAGAGGCAGTCATCAAGTGAACAGGAGGGCAGCGGCAAGCAGAGGATACAGAGACAGGATTCAAGTGACCTGGAGGGCTCCATTAAGGAGGGCTCTGACAAACGCTCAGGGTAAGTGAAGGAACCATGCTGGTGACAGTTTAATTCAATGGATTATGCAAACTTAAAAATCCCATTGATTTTTTATAATGATTGTATTTGCTGTTTGGGTGACACCTTTCTGTTGTCACTGCAGGGAGAAAAGATCTACTATGGCAGAGATTGTAGAACAAGTTCAGGAAAGAGAGGCAGCGCATGTGAGTTACTTTATACATGGTATCACAATGTTTTTGCATATTCTTTTTTTCTGTGTTTCACATTGTGTTTTTTCTTTGCCATCTCAGGCAAGAGGAGAGAATTCTCGGCCTCCCAGTAGCCTCTCAGCACCACTGACTCGTTTTGATGGACGCCCTCGTGCTCGAGATCGTCCAAAACCAAGGAGAAGGCCCCGTCCAAAAGAACCTGAGGAGACGCGACGTTCTCGTTCAGCCCCAGCAACTGGTGCCCCAACGACACCTCAGCCGCCTTCACACACTGCCCATAATGAAGGCTTCCTCTACCGCAAAAAAGTAACCAACTCTGACCTAGATGCTCAGCAGAGGAGCCCCAACAGGTAACTACAGCCACCACTCACAAATCATGCAATAGATACGTATATCCTGTGTGGGGGAGTATAGAAAACTAGTAACTGAACTACATTTAGCAGTAACTTGCTGGTAGTTTGGCTACATTCATATATGCATAGCGATTCAAGTAGTTAGCCACTGAAACTATGAACAATTTAGGGCCATAACAGTAAAGGACTGTTTTTTTGTTGTTTTTTTTCTTTACTGTATGTGAGCAGCTTTTCAGTGGTGGCATGGATATTTTCAGTGCCAAACAAAACCATTTCTTGGATAAGAACTTTGACAAACATCTTATATGTCATGTAAACAAGAGTTCTGTTCTGACAAGTAAAATGATAGACCCATTACTTAGACCAGTGTTCCAGCTGTTCTTACTGTCTGAAAAGGTACAAGTTGAAGACTACTTTGGTTGTTAAGACCAAGCAAGTCAGATTTTGTTAGATTTTTGAAACACGTGCAGTTTTAACTACTTTTCTAAGAAGCTTTAGTTAACCAAACTATATTTCTACCTAGACTAGCTTTGTTGTAAACTTCTTCCAGTTTGAAGTGATAGCTTGCTTCCAAAGCTACGCTTACGCTTAGCTAAGCTTTCAAGTAGCTTTGCCAACACAGGATTTACCTTAGAAATGACTGTTAGCTAAACAGCGATTGTCCAATCATAGCTGAACAAGCACAACAAGTTAGTGTGTGGGGACTCTAACAACAGCAATACTCTGCATTTGAAGAGTTTGGGGGATTGTATCTTCTTTTGTAAGCCTTTGTAATTACTGCTCTTAAATGAATTAGGGGAAGTTTTATTTTATTTTATTTGTTTGTTTGTTGAATGGGTGTTAGTGTAAGCTTGTGTTTGTGTGTGTTCGACTCTGTTTAGACTAAGGAAGGGGCCAAAAAATGAAACCTTAAAGCTCAGATTTACCTCAGCAGTCTGATCAGTCATAGCAGATACTGTACCAATAAAACCAGGCTACCAATAAAAATAATGGGGCATCTATGTGATTTAAATAACTCTCTGTGGAGATTTCTCTTCAAAATGCAGCAGAAAAAAATACAGTCAGGGAAAAAATTATTTGAACCCCAGCTGATTTTGTAAGTTTGCCCACTAACAAAGAAATGATCAGTCTACAATTTCAATGGTAGGTTTATTTGAACAGTGAGAGACACGATAACAAAAAATCCAGAAAAATGCATTACAAAAAAAGTTATACATTAATTTGCATTTTCATGAATGAAATAAATATTTGATCCCCTATCAGTCAGCAAGATCTCTGGCTCCCAGGTGTATTTTATACAGGTAAGGAGCTGACATTGGGAGCCCTCTCAGCTCGTTACCTGTATAAAAGAGACCTGTCCACAGAAAGACGTGGAAGAAAACGGAAGACAACCATCAAAATGGATCGAAGAATAACCAGAATGGCAAAGGCCCAGCCAATGATCAGCTCCAGGATGATCAAAGACAGTCTGGAGTTACCTGTAAGTACTGTGACAGTTAGAAGCCGTCTGTGTGAAGCTAATCTATTTTCAAGAATCCCCCGCAAAGTCCCTCTGTTAAAAAAATGGCACGTGCAGAAGAGGTTACAATTTGCCAAAGAACACATCAACTGGCCTAAAGAGAAATGGAGGAACATTTTGTGGACTGATGAGAGTAAAATTGTTCTTTTTGGGTCCAAGGGCCACATGGGTCATGTTGTGAAAGTGTTGTGGTCAGATGAGACCAAAATCGAGCTCTTTGGCATTAACTCAACACGCCGTGTTTGTCCCCACCGTCAAATATGGAGGTGGAAACATTATGCTTTGGGGGTGTTTTTCTGCCAAGGGGACAGGACAATTGCACCGCATCAAAGGGAGGATGGATGGGGCCATGTACCGTCAAATCTTTGGTGAGAAACTCCTTCCCTCAGTCAGGGCATTGAAAATGGGTCGTGGTTGGGTATTCCAGCATGACAATGATCCAAAACACACGGCCAAGGCAACAAAGGATTGGCTCAAGAAGAAGCATATTAAGGTCATGGAGTGGCCTAGTCAGTCTCCAGACCTTAATCCCATAGAAAATCTGTGGAGGGAGCTGAAGGTTCAAGTTGCCAAACATCAGCCACAAAACATTAATGACTTGGAGAGGATCTGCAAAGAGGAGTGGGTCAAAATCCCCCCTGAGATGTGTGCAAACCTTGTGGCCGACTACAAGAAACGTCTGACCTCTGTGATTGCCAACAAAGGTTTTGCCACCAAGTATTAAAGCACATTTTACGAATGGATCAAATACTTATTTCATTCAAGAAAATGCAAATTACTTTATAATTTTTTTTGTAATGCATTTTTCTGGATTTTTTTTGTTATTGTTGTGTCTCTCAGTGTTCACATAAACCTACCATTGAAATTGTAGACTGATCATTTCTTTGTTAGTGGGCAAACTTACAAAATCAGCTGGGGTTCAAATAATTTTTTCCTTGACTGTATACCTGAATCATACAAAAACGTAGGGGAGCAGGGGTGACGCATGTTTACCTGCATGTCATGTGCCATTGTGAACTGACATATTAGACAGAGTGGAATTCTGTTGCATGGGACACATGTGAAACACACAAAACACATATAAAAACGTGCTCAGTGTGGATTGTGCTTAGCTAACTACAGCTGACAGAATATGTTAATGTTTTCACTGCTTTTACTCAAGGACCCATTGTTTCTAATATTGAATCAATTTCGATGTTTGTCATTGTAACCTGCATATGATATGTACCCTGCTAAAATGGAGTCTTGACAGGCATGATAGCATCAACTACTGGGGCAGGGTTTAACAACTAGATTGCTCAGATTAAATCATTTGATAAACCACTGGGGTGGTTGCTGTACCTTTGTAATGCATCTTTACTTTAAAACATCTGAGATGATAATTACAATATTATTTTGTACATCTTTAAATTAGAGAAACTGTTACCCAAAGTTAGAAAAGTATTTCTGTTAAGATCTTAATGTGTCATTGTGATTTCACAGCAAGTCGTGGGTGAATGTATATTGTGTGCTGAAAGAGGGAAAGATGACCTTTTACAAGGATGCAAGGAACCACAAAACAACGTACAATGGAGAGCCTCCCGTTGACCTTAGTGACTGCTCATTTGACCCTTCACTGGGATACAAGAAGAAGAAAAATGTTTTCATTCTTCAGTAAGAACCTTTCTATTGCTGCAAAAGCAGAAATCTAATCATTTCTACATTTTTTACAGTAATTATCACCTATAGCCTATTTCTTTAAAAGAGAAACATTAAAATGCAGAAAATTAAACAAGTGTAATGTTAGATTATTCAATTGGCATGTGGTCATAAAAGGCATGCATGAGGAGCTGATAATCCCTCTTGATTATCTTTGCAACAGAGTAAACGATGGGAACAACTTTGTATTCCACGCTAAAGATGAGGTAAGACTGTCTATATTTAAGAGAAGCAGACATTGAGATGTAATCTACATTACTTGAAACCTCCTGTGCACCACATATGAAGTCAGGGAGAAACTAGGAGCAAATAAGAGATGTCTATGCATTAAGGAGTGCACCTATAATTTAGAGTTTTATCAGTTAACAGAGTTGTGTGGCGATATTCTCTCTTGCCTTACTGTCAACAAATCCAATGAAAAGAACAACACCAACCATGTATCCTACTAACAATTATTTTGTATGTTTGTGTGTAGCCAAAACCTGTCATCTCTATATAGTATACAGCATGTCATTTCTCTGTACCATAGAGCTCAGTTTCAACACAGTTGCCCTTGGTGACATTTTGATGAACATGGGCACTGTGGTTCATCTTTGCTCAACCCCATATAAACCATTCTGCTGAAATACTAATGCCCAGCTGAAAATAGTCCCCAGGAAAAGCACCATTCCCTCCTGTTCATCTAATGACTGCTAAAAACTATAGTGCTCACCTGTGTTAGGAAATTACAGAGCCTGTATTTAAATGGAAGTGCATATGAATACTTGAATGATGCTTTAAAAGATTTACATTTTCAGTAGGACCCAGTGGACTTGCAGCTGAGCGCTACAGGAAGCACTGAGAGATGGTTTGGTTCTTGTCATGTTTGCTGACCATAAAAAAAACATACAGTGGATTATTACTACACTCATCTTTGGAAGAATAATAATTAAACAAGAACCTGTATGATGACAAAAGTGCAGCAATATAGATCAACATGTACTTCCACCCACACTAGAAAGTCACTTTCGGCTTTTCCCGTTTAGGGTTCGCCACAGCGAATCGTCACACTGACGATTCGCATGTTGACATTTGGCACGTGTTTTACGCTGGATGCCCTTCCTGACGCAACCCTGATTCAAACCCGGGCTGCAGCGGCAAGAGCGCTGCACCGTAACCACTAGCCTACCAGGGACGACTGAAGTACTGAAATAATAAAATAATCAGAACATATTTTGATGAGCTCCTCAGGCACAAGTTAGAATCATCAAACTATGTAAAAAAAAAAAAGTCAGATATTGCATCACTACTTTTACTTTCCTTTCTGTTTGTATTTGTCTATTCGGTTACAAAGATAACAAGACATGAGCAGAATAAACAGTATACTGAATTTTGACTTTTATAATACAGCACAATCTTTAAAGCTACAGTATTTCCATTTTCTTCTAATATATTTATTTAAAATAAGTTCTAAAATGTAATGTGGAGAGGTGCTGTCATAGGCTTAGACCAGACTCACTGAACAGCCTGGCAGCAGATCAGAGATATTTTCTTTCTAAAGGGTTTTGAGCAAATCTCATCCTTCCAACCAGTCAGAGAAGGCCAGAGTTACAGGTGGGAGCTCACAGCTGTCAGCCATTCTGTGGACACATATATGGTCCACTTATCTTTTCACACTGAGGTGGCTAGTGTAAGCTGCTGAGAGACATTGCAGTGGCTGACTCACAGGCCCTCAAGCTCTCAGTACTGGAATTAGCTGAGAAAGCGAAAATGCTGAGGATGTAGGTGACGGACTGGGTGGATTGTATCAAAGTTGGAGAGGGAGGGCTGGTAAGAGCAGAGTCTCATGTAAGTGCTATCTTAATTTCCAGAACTTGATTATGTAGCTTTGTGATTAAACCTCTTTTCCCAAGTATTTATATTTGCTGCATCGTACAAAAAAATCAATGTGTGGTGTTAGGCCTTTGTCAACTATCAGATGTCTGGGTGTCTAAAGTATATAAACCACCTCCACCTCAATGTGCTTCAACAGTAAAATACTGCTTACACATGGATGCATCAGTGTTGACATTCTAATAATGTCATAATAACGTATCAGTCACAGTCTCAGTCACACTGTCTTTTGCTGGTCTCCATAGGAGGACCTGAAGGCCTGGACTTCAAATATCTGCACCTGTATAGCTGAGCATGAGGCCATGGCCAAGTGGGACAAGCCAGGCACCTCCTCCATGGACCCCGACCGCTCAGAGAGGAAGGAGAAGTCGGAGGGGGATGCAGATGCCAGGTCAGAGAGGTCTGAGCTCATCGAAGGGGAAGAGAGGTCTGAGAAGGAGAGGTCGGAGAAAGGGGATGGTTCTGAGAAGTTAGACACGTCAGAAATCGCAGACAAGGTGGAGGGCGGGGCAGGGGGCTCCAGCACATCTGGAAAAAGCAAATGAGGAGCCCCTTTGTGTTTTAATGTTACTCCCTGACAAATGGTGTAGGAGACAGTGGGTGAGAGGGAGGGATGGAGAGCATGTGCAGCTAGGTTTGCAGACCCTCAGTCAAAGAGCTGGAACACGCTGAGGCCACGGTCCTTCGACTGACTACTGTAACTGTGACAGACTATTCTCTCAGCCCCTCCCCTTCACCCAGGCAATACATCAGTGCTTGCTTTGTGCCACCTGCTGGTAGATGGGTGGTTGGCCCAGACAGACTGATAGACAGAATCCAACAAGTGGTTCCAGGAATTAGTCACTGTCATGTCCCATCACTGATCGTTTAATCTCAGATTTACAGCATCTTTCTCTATGTATCTCTGACTGATAATGTAATGCTCTGTCTATCTAGACAAACCCAAGAAGTGGTGAATGAAATGTTTCCCAATATTAAAAAAGAAAACATGTTTTTTTGAAGCAATATACTTTTTTATTTCTTCTCTTTGTTAGAGAGAGAAAGGGGCAAAATAGACAATAAATAGTTGCAAATGTGAACTCTATGATTTGTCCCATCCATGTAAACATACTCCAGACAGTTGTGCACCTTAAACACTTGACACATCTGTATACTAATTTAATGCCATTACATGGCTAGCTTTCAATCATGGTAATATAATGGAACGTTGGTGTTACCCACCCGACTTCATTGTTGCCAATGGATATGCGTTTCTACAGTTTCTTTTCGGTTATTATTATTATTATTATTTGTCCGCAATGATCAATGTCAAGAAAAGAGCCTTTGAATTCAAGGTGTGTTCAAAGTGGCCATGCTCAAACTTACAATGCCTTTGTATACATGACCAAAATCAAAACATTGCATGAAATAGTCTGTTAGTGCACCTGTTAAACTTGCCTTTATTTTTTATGTTGGGCAGTATTGGAATTGCAATAACTGAATGTGAATGGAGTAAAAATGTCCTTTTGCTATCATGGTCCACCCTTCAAAATCCAAAGGGAAGTTTGACAGAGAAGGGTTGTCTTCTATCCACAGTAAGCATGAGAAGAAGGGATGCATTCTTCGTGATCTGTAACATGAATTACGATGCCAAATGGCCTTTCGTTGTTTGTACTGTATTACTGCAATTTCTTTTCCACAGAATGCACTGATTTCAGCTGTGAAATGCTCAATCACTGAGTGTGTGGTGTCTAAAACTGTAAAACCCCGAAGCAGTTCACTGAGAGTTAAAGCTCTCTGTACCCTGTGTCTTTCATCTGAAGTTCAAACTGATTGGGATCTCTCCACCAAAGGCAAGTTAATGTCATGAGTCACATCATGAGTTGTATATACTTATCTTTGTATGTATACCAGTAAATCCTGCGCTCTAATAAAACTATATATGAACTGAAGTGAGTAAAATTAAAACATTTGTGTTAATACAAAATTAAAACAATCATCAGTCATATATATATAAATGTTTATTACATTTAAATGGAAATTATTCAAATTAGGAGTCACTATTATCTATCATAATGTATATAAGTACACCAGTATCTAGTTGTATGAAACACAAGTCTTTTACCAGGGAAGAGCAGCAGGTCATACTGTAGGTATACTTGCTGTATTTTTACATACCATATCAGATTCAGGAGTTGCCCCACAGCCCCAGTAAGAACTTGTACTAATAGTTAGTGTGTCTGTGAATGGTGTGCTAAATTGATATATTACCAACAAGAAAACATCTGCCAGCCTGGGCTGTTCACCACATGCTCAGTCAAATCTTTGGTGACTAAACTTAGTGCAGCCCAGTATGTAGTGCAGAGCAGTATGCTGTGATCACAGAGATGAACAGGCATTAGTCCACTTTTATTTGTCAGTTAATTTTACAGTTAATCCTCCCTTAATATCCGTAACATTTGGTTATTATGACATTGTACTTACATTAAAGAACAAGGAAGAAATATCTGTGTACTGTGCAGCGACACACAGGTAACAGCTGTTGTAATGTTTTCCATTTTCCATCATGTGAAACTGCACCTCAGATATGTAAAAAAATCACTTTTTAATAGTCTTCCTTTCTATTAAACACCAAAAGCATATCTCAGATGCATAAGGCTTTGAATCCACTGGCTTGAGGCTTGTGGTGATGGCGAGCTGTATCTGTCTGCCATTACTGCCACCCTCACATCAGGTGAATGAGAACAGATGTTTAATATGATGTAAACGTTATTTTTATTTATGAGTCATTGTTTGTCTTTACATACGTGCCATGTCATGCAGTTTGCTGAAAGAGCGGGTCAGAAGAGAAAGCAACTGGTTATTTAAACATGAATGACGTCATCTGACTCAACACTCCTCTGACAGTGAGCCTGTTGTTGCAATATATATTTTTATCACTGAAATAGGAGCTATAGTATTTTCACGTGGCTGTAATTGTTCAGACTCATTGCTCATGGCAGATATTTAGCCTGCATCACCACGTATGTTTTATGGGTTTGCTTCCCATCACTTTTATGAAGCAAAGCTGATTTTTTTTTCCCACTATGTTACAAAAGTAACAGTTGAAATGAAATTGGCAGCACAAACTGTGATTGCAGAAAAAAAATATTGTGCAAACTTTGTTTCCTTCATTGATGGTCTTATAAGTGTGTGTATGTCTTTGTTACTTTACATTACTACTTGCTGCTATGACATTAAATAAATCTCCAAACTTGCTGATGTAAACTTGACATGGAATTGATGTGGACATACATGCTGGTCTCTCTATCTCTCTCTCACACACACACTTAATGGAAACTCTTTGCTCATTACATTGATTTCAACTACAAGCAGTGTGATTCTTGACTCAAATGCACAGTACACAACATTATCATTGCAAAGCAGCAGCAGCACTGACTAGCACCAGCTGATTTATTTACTCTGTGCTAAACTTTGGTTCTTCCAACCCTGTAGGACAAATTCTAGGAGTCATACATAAGCTACAATAGAATATAGAGTAAAGTATGTTGGTAAGACACATGTAGACACACTGAACTGATACACTAATTAAAATGGTATGTGTCTTTTTAGCAACATCAGTCTGTGTGTGTCATCGTAAAGTGTCCCTTGGGTGTAGAGCTGATAGCCTTTCCTGCAAGATTGGCTTACTGGTGGGACTCAACTGAAGGGCTGGTATTTTCCAGACTGTGTCTAGGTCAGGAGGTTATCTAAATGCCTTGGATCCATCATGCTTCCTCCTGCGCATACCAACGAACATTTTTATGCTCTACCTTATAGCAACCAGTGGAAATGCTGAATCTCATCTGGACCATGTGCATGCAGTTTCAAAGTGAGTGGACGTGTGAATAAATTATGTGAGTAAAAATAAAGCTTCATGCAACTTTTGTTTTGCACTAATGTACAGCCCCACGCCCAGTGTAAAACAATACCGGTGGAGCAGAGCCTATTTTATAAAGAAATACAAGCAAACACTGATACATGTAATCACAAACTATGCACAATTTGATGTCTGTTTTAGGGATGTACATTTTAATTATGAGTTGTTAATTGAACTGAATAACATCTGCCAATATCTGTCTGTAGAAATATGAAATATGGTATTGCCTATATACTGTATATATATGCTATATATATAGAGAGAGAGAGAGAGAGAATTTGACTAGAGAGAAGCCCCTCTGCCAGGAAAGTAAGTGCAAATGACATTGATATGACTTGATTGACCTCACTAAGGCATTTGGATTTCAGCCTCCGCTGGTCCCCACCCTGCTCTTTGTGACAAAGGCTGGGTGTCTGTCTACAGTGTGGTCTAATTGCAGGCGAGCCTGCAGGTCCAGAGAGACTCTCAAGCTGTTGCAGGAGAAGCACAGATCACAGATTCCAGACTTCACCTGACAGCCCTCAGTCCTGGTCACTATGTACTGAGGGAAATGTTGCTGTGAAACATGAGACCACGGGATGAGGCACAGTGGCAATGTTCCAGTTCAGAGGAGCTGCCTGTTCAAGCCCCTTTGTGTTTTGCCTTTATGCATTTATACATTATTTGAGCATATATATTTTTGATTCTCTCCTTTTTTCAGTATACTCCTGCTAAGTTGTTTGGAAAGCTGATTTCCCCACAATTTCTGTGTTGATTGATCCAGCTTGAGTAAGACACCAACAGTTTATGTATTGGCCTGATTCGCTCCTCTTTTCATCTGTATAGTCTGTAACCAGACCATGCATGACATAGCTGACGGTAATGATTTTATTTTCCTGAGGTCCCTTCCATTCAAGAAAATGTTTAATCATTCTCTTGTAGTAAAAAATTATTATTTATAACAGTTATTTTCATGTTCTGTTTCTGTTAATATTTTCCTATTTGTGATACAGTGAGTGTGGGCTTATCACCCTGCTGTTATTAAAAAAAACAACAACAACAAATGTTACAGAAAGTGTGCACATTGTTCCAAACCAAGGTCCTTGCTGTATGTAATACTTTATTTGTACATATCGACTGAGGGGGAAATGACCCTTTAAAGTCCCTCACTGCTCCTACTGTTATCGTTCCTTCACTGTCATGTTTGAGCTTCCCTGTGGAGAATGGCATATGTGATATGTGACTAAAACATTGTTTTCACATTCATCATTTCTCTGTGTTCAGTTCGAGACTCACTTTAACACAGGCATGTGTGAGAGGATTCCATGATAAAGCAACTAGATTGAAAGCCATTCATGCTCCAGTCTGCAACTTACCACAGTGTGAGGTGGAAACCTCAACTCTTGCTCTCAGTAGCTAACCCTCTGAAACAATAAATATTTGTATATTTATTCTAGATTTGGCAATAAGGGGGAATGAGGAGATGTAGTTTTAAGACTTTTGAACAAGGTAATTGATTTTTCTTTCCTAAAAAAAAAAAACATTAGACACGATTTCCTAAGCTATTCGTTGTGTTTCATACCTGGGGATCTAATAATATGCAGTTGCTGAATGTAATTATCAGTATTATTCCTTGCAGGTGTTCACAGAAATCTAAGATGAGTACTGTCTTGTGAGCTCACTTATTTTTGATTGGTTCCTATTCTCATGGATTTTGTCATATCTATATTGCTAATTTCCCTCACCATGGAGGTTTGTTTATTTCCATGGACATGCAGGGGAATACAGTGGAACTCCTTGGGTCCTAACACGGATACAGCTGGAATTAAAAGTAATTACACAACTCATTTTAATCTAGTCTTATTTTAGATCTGGTCTTATGCTGAAGGTATAATGAAGTTTAAAAATAGAGCTATGACCAAAAAAAGTTCTTTAATGTTTAGAACCATCAGAGTAGAAATTCACAGAGTAATAACAGCATGATAGCTTAATTATTAATTACGTTGCAAAAGCTTATTCGCTGATTACCCAAACCTGGAAATCGCTGGATTACTAAAAAGCTTTCTGTACCAGTACAGCAAATCTTTCAGAGGGACGAATGGACGTCACGTAACCTTATCTTAGCACACACGTGGGGGCGTGATTCTGTCAACACACGCAGCTACGGAAGCCTCGGTGTTTAACTAGCCAGAGAGCTAGCTTGAAGCTTCCTCAAAATGGCCAGGTGGGAAAAGGTTGCTGCTGTCTTGAGGAATGTTTTGAGGAGTCCTCGGTCTCTGGAGAGTTCAGCACCGCGCCGTGCTATCGGGCCTGGCATTTTGGGCTATGTCATCGGAACTGGTGTTATCTGTTATTACCAGTATCATGCAAACAACAGGACTCTGCCCTTCGCCGTTCATGCTCACAAATTTAAAGTGAGTATGTAACGTCACCTAATAAACGCTTCTGTCGTTTACAAATTGACTGTAGACAGACAGACATGCCCAGTGTACGTTTCGTATTTCTGTCAGATTTAAAGCAAACTTTTGCTCAGTATTAGCGACGGCAACACACTGACGTTATTCACGTTTACAGACAGGGCGTGAATCCTCGGCAACAAACGCCCAATAACTGTCACTCAATATGCTGCCCCTGTGTGTGTGTGTGTGTGTGTGTGTGTGTGTGTGTGTGTGTGTGTGTGTGTGTGTGTGAAAACCACTGTTTAACGTCATATTGCTGCTGTTCCAGGAACCTGCACCCCCCCAGCTGTCCGCGAGAAAGCTCCGTTTCATCCAGTTCGCCTCGGTAGTCTATGACCAGGAGCCCTACATGACCCCGCGAGACTTCCTGTTTTCAGTGATGCTGGAGAATGTTGACCGTAAGCTGCACCGACGTCAACTGACACTTTATCGTGTGTGTGTGTGTGTACAGTCCTGAGCTAGCACCCCCTCCCATGAGGTTCCACAGAGAGTGGGTGACGGTACATCCGAATAAACAGGTTGGAAAAAAGAATGGTTTCATAGAGATCCCAACCTGGCTGAACACCTGTGGGAAGTTTTGGTGCAGTTCTGTGTCTTTCTTTTTTGGAATGTTGTTCATCCCTCCAGCAGAGTCACTGACTTAGACAGTCAATGCCAAGGAACACTGAAGCTGTTCAGGAGCCTTGTGCTGAGGTAGCACTTTCTCCTTTCATTTGTCAGCCATCTATACATAGGTAGGGCTGGTCTTGTAAAGAAGGTTGTATTGTGACAAAGCCAGACTGTACATCACCACCTTCTTTTACCCTAACAACCTTTTTTCTCCATGCGTCATAGATAAGTGGTCTGGTAGTAGGAAAGAAAATGCAATTGTAAATTGTAAAACAAGCTGAGAAAATAGGAAGAACAATTTAAGTTTAACAATAAATGCAGTGCTAACAATGTAGTAGTAGCAGCTTGAGGCATGGACCAGAGTCAAAGTATAATGCAAATGCACCAAAATGAGGCTGCCTGCAGGATCCTTAAAGACTGTGCAGTTCACAGAAATGAGGGGTAATATGGAAATATTAGTGATGGAAAGATGAAGCCTCGTTGAAGCATCAAAGCTTTCCAGCCATTTGAAGCAGAAAAATGGTTCATGTGTCGAAGCGTGAAGTGACCACTGGACTAAATGTAATGTAGTCCAGTACAACACCACCTTTAACTATGACCTCAATAATGAAAATTATAATGGAGTTTATACATTTATAATAATTTCACCTAAAACTGAAACATTTTGAGCTTCATAAACACAGATGTTATGGTGGAAGTGTTGCACTGAACTACATACAACTGTACAGGTGTACCTAATAAAGTGGCCGGTCAGTGTATAGTGTAAAACACATTGGCATTTAAACACCATTAGGCTGGCAGGACATGATCAAATCATCATCATTGCGTTTAGATGGATACATATGGATACATTTGCCATTGTTGCTACCAGATTACACTTAACAAAAACGGACTGCTTGCTTGCAGATTTGTAACCGTGTATGACTGTAATTTGTCTTTTCTGTTCCTCCTCCTGTAGGAAAGCTGCAGAAGAGAATTATATCAGAAAAGGTATTTTTAAATCATTACAATGTGAAAATAAGTTACCTGCATGTCATTAGTTTGGGCTAACAGTGCTGCTATCTATTTCTTCTTGATGTCTTTGCAGGAAGTATATAAGATGTTGGTTACTGCCTCTAAAGCTCGGGCTACTAATGATCTGTTCCGAAACTTAGGAGACAATGGTAAGTTGTTAAGAAGTCACCAGAGGTGAGTCAATACCCAGGCTATTCAGACCAAATATCCTGCATCCAGCGCTGTCCAGTTTACAGTGTGCTGTGGGCTTTACTTCCCATTCACATTTAACTTTATCTCTGTGACCATAACAGAACTTTGTTGGTTATCTTAATTCCAAAACATACCTGAGCATTCACTCCTTTGTCTTGCAGGTTTGATATCCTACACAGAGTATCTGTTCCTGTTTACTGTCCTGACCAGTAAGTTGGTCACTTGATTCCTTGACTCAGTAATACTGTGCTCAGTGGATTCACCTGTGGTCTTGTGGCTACATTTTAGACAGTTCATCAGCAGATGTTGACTGGAGTTTTCTCTTCAGTGTTTTCCCAGCTGTGTTAAGAAATGATACATTACCCCACTAACCAAGTTCAGTGATCTACTGGCAGTTTTCCAGATAACTGACTACACATTGCTGTTGCAGAGCCATGCACAGGATTTCATATAATGTTCAGAATGCTTGATGTTGATGGCAACGAGCAAGTGGACAAAAAGGAATTTCTCAAGGTAAGAGGGCTAAGATTTCAGGGTAGTTTAGCAGAAGTTGAGGAGAGCTACTGATCATGACACATTCTTTTTGAAGCACTGTTATCATGGAAAGATACTAACAGAGAGAACTGTGATTCTGTTTGTTCAAATGTCTGTGTGTGCATTTAAATTCCAAAACTCTGTCATCTCTAATGCTACCTTATGCACTGGCGCTGCTGCTGTTGTAAGTATGGAGACGTGGAACCACGTGAAGGTGAGGGAGAGCTGCACTGCTAGTCTGCCTTTCCTCTGCTATGTGTTTGCATCCCTGCAGCCTGAGTCAGCTCCTCGGTTCAGTCCTTTTATCAGAAGTCACTTGACAAATGTCTTTCTTCCACCCAGACTTGTCCTCTGTGATGACAAGCAAAACCCTCAGCGTGCCTAGTCCAGATCAGGCCTGGACTAGCAGAGTGCATGTTGGCACGCTATCCACCTTGTGACATATTGCCATGTTGTGACATGGTGTGCAGGCCGAACGTATTCAGTAAAACATTAGAAGTGCATGGATTTCATTTGCTCCAGTTTCTGTTGTGTGTGACTTGGATGAAGGTTGTAGCTCTGGTTTCATCTGTGAAATAGTATTATTGTTGTTTGTGTTTGTGGTAGTTCACAACAGAAGGATAAAGTGCACATTTTTACATTCAAACTTGTAGCATGGGCCTCATTCACCAACATCTTCCCAGTTCTTTTCTTAAATTTGTTCTTAGTGTGTTCTTAGGAAAGGTCCTAAGGAAAATCTCCACCTCATTCATGAATGTGTTCAGAATTGTTCACACCTGTGTTCTTACAATGATGAATCCCACTGTGTTCGTGAGATGAAAGCGCGTGCCAGTCGTTCCTAATTAGCATATGAAAATGTCCCGTCAGTGCCCATAAAGGGCCATGAGACTGCAGGGCCGTGTGAACACAGGAATCTCACACAGAAATTGAAAATAGAGGTTGAGAAACTCAGGAATGCTACAACAAAAATCCAAAGATGGTGGAGCATCTGACTCCAAACTGAGGAGAAGCTCGAGAAGTGAACTGAGCAGACCTCCATCTGTGCACTGAGATCCTGTACAGCTGCCCTCCATCTGCTCTCACATGTGATGCTGGACAACCAAACAGTGACACAGCTTCGACACCAGCCACTATATCTGAGCCATTTATAGAAATGAAAGTAAAGATATGCATTTACATGCGTTTCGTTTTTAAGTGATGTTTCTCAATTTTAAGCTATAAATGACCACATTTAAAAAGTCTTAACTTTAAAGCTTATATTTATACATTTGCAATTAATTGCTAAATGGAATTTTTAGTGTAGTGTTAATTAATTTTAAAAGGCCATAATGCCTTTTAAAATAATGGAAATAATTATTAAAAACTGATAAGAAATGTTATTGTAATTTAAATCCTAATGTTATACAACTGTATAATTGAGGAAAATTAAATAACCACTTAGTTCACACACACCTGTCAACACTCAGATGTGCTCCTGAGTGTGTGTAGATTCTGTTTTTAATTGAGAACAAATCCCAGATAAGAAAACATTGCTGAATGTCAAAATCTTTGTAGAAACTGTGTAAGTGGGTTTTAAGAAAAAATGTGTTCTTGAGAAGAATGGTGAATGACACCCAGTGTTTTTATGTTTCTAGTTAAAATCTGAATAATTTTTGTTTCCTTTTTCTTCTTTTGCTACTGAAGCTCAAGAATATCATTGGGAAAACTAAAGTGAAAACTTCTAAGGACAGCACAGAGGTGGGCTTTCACATTCCTATAAAAGGACAGTTTTATCACAATTGTGTCATTTTTCAGCATCACTAATGCTGTGTAAGATCTGGTCACTCAGTTTCATTGGTAGCAGTTTTGTTTAAAGAATGCAGCAGACGAAGGGGAAGGTGTGAACACGACACTGCAGGCCTACTTCTTTGGGAGGAAAGGAGATAAGAAGTTGAAGTATCAGGAGTTCCTGAGGTAAGAAAGTGGCCTCCACAGCTGCACACTCACCTGCTGCTGTCACTGATCATTCTGCATATTGGATTTACAGTGTATGGGATCTACCTTTCTAATTTCTGTGTAATTTTGATATTATGACTGTTGCAGATGGTCGGTGGGAAGTATTGTTGAGCCAGAACCATTGTAATCAACCATGACTGTCTTTCAGGTTTACAGAGGACCTACAGGCTGAAGTTCAGGAGATGGAGTTCCTGCAGTTCTCCAGAGGTATGGACACCATGCGAAGAGAAGACTTTGCAGAGTGGCTGCTACACTACACCAACGAAGAAGACAACGAAGTCTACTGGGAAAACATGAGGAAGCGGATCCCTGCTGGCGAGGTACAGACTCTTTATCCACTGCTACCATTAAATGAGAGGGATTGTTGGAAGTGTAGCATCAAAGTGAACAGTCTTATGTCTGGCAGAGCATCACATTTGATGAGTTCAGAGCCTTCTGCCTCTTCACCAACAATCTGGAGGATTTTGCTCTTTCAATGGAGATGGCCACTGAAACCAACCGTCCTGTTGGAATGGGTAACATCTCTTTTTCTTGGTTTGAATGGTTTCCTCTTATATGCTGGAGATGACTACATTTTTCCTTATTGTGATTGCAGCCCAGTTTAAGCGAGCTGTGAAGATCGCCACAGGTAATGACCTGTCTGAGAATGTGCTCGACACTGTGTTCAAACTCTTTGATACAGACGGAGACAACCGCCTGAGCCATAAAGAGTTCATGGCCGTGATGAAAGAGAGAGTACAGCGAGGTCTCAAGGTGAGTTCATCCATCCAGACCTTTTTTAATAAATATATACATTTTTTCTTTACATTTTAAATCTGGCAATGAATTGCAGTACTGCCAGATGGGATTAACACCATTCTACCCCCCAGGTGCAGCCTGAGGTTGGCTTCTCAGGCTTCTGGAGGTGTGTGAAGCGAGAGACCCTGAAGGGAGCTCAGGAGGCGCTGGGAGACAACAGGCGTCCTATCTGAACCACCGTGATGCCCCAGGACGTCTGCTAGATGGCCACTCGTACTACTGTTCACGTTTATGTACTGTATACCTTAGAATCAAATAAGTGGTGTGAAGATTATATACATAAAGCAAGGGATTTACACCATCTTGTGTGCAAATGTTTACCAATCACCAAATCTATGGCTGATATTAGTGTACTTAGCTAACTGTGGTTGTGGTGTTTCCAGTGACAATCCTTTTTTTTTTTTTTTTTTTTTGGTGCAGTTTGCTTTCCTTTTGTTTACCAAGTCATGCATTTTATATTCACAAGAACTGCAAATATTCTGCAATCCACACTGTCACTCCTGCCTTGAGTTTTCACATAACTGGTTAACTGTGGTTAATGCTGTTAATTACATGTTTTCCAGGGGCTTTTCTAACACACTACCAGTCAAAGGTTTGGGTACTTTCCCACTGAACTGATAGGGAAAGTGTGTCCAGACCTTTGACTGCTAGTGTACCTGATGTGGGTTTTTCATATTTTTTAATCAAAGTATTTATCACAGTTTTATAAAAATGCCAATGTTTGTGCTGCACACTTAATGTTCAAGCGATTCAAATCAGTAGAAAAGGAATAAACCAGAATATTGATTTTGTGATTTATTGTAGAATTGACCTGCTTAGATCACAGGTATATAGGTTAACCACTGAAGATTGTGTTGCTAATTCTCTTACCATACATACAATTCAAAAAGTAAATAGACACAACAAGCTTACATCCGTGATAGATGAACAAATTAGTGACTGATGCCAAGGATATCAGAGAATACAGCTACAATACAATAAAATTACATTGCGCATGAAGCCTTCTTTGGTCTTTCATCACTATAAACAAGTACATAGAAATTTGCGTTGTATCAAAAATAGAAGTTACATAGTCATATTGAAAGTAAATTCACATTTTTAACATACTATATAAGGAGAATACCTAAGAGACATATTCTGGGATTACATTTTTTTTTTAGTCCTTGGCTTTAAGGGCCCAATAGTCTGCCACATTTTCAGCATTCAATTGGATTTCAAAGAACTGCTTTATTCCATCAAAGCATCTATCAACATTGCTGTGACCCATCTGTGTAAGACAGAATGCAACATATATAACAAAAACACAAACGAGACAAAATAGATTCTCATTCTTAAAAAACAAGTGTGTGCTTTCAATCCTGGGCTTTGAAGACAAGACCTGATCAGAGGCCTGTGCTGTGCTGGACAGAGGAGAGAGGGAGAGAGGTGGGGAGCCGAGCCCCAACACGCTAACAGGTCCCGCTTCTTGTGAGTGACGCCTGTTGTGTCTTTAGCTAACGGTGTGTGTGGAGCTGTCCTCCTGGGGCACAGAGTTTTTCTGTTCTCACAGGCACAAATGATGAAGTGCAGCCAAAGAGGACCTCTGCTTGAGTTAACAGTGAAGTGCTTCCAAAGGGTTTGATCCGCTGCAGAAACACAAGCACAGAATGTGTAAGATTTTGGGAACATTTTAAACAAGCACAAAGGTAGCAATGGGCAAGTGAGCAGTGACATTAGTTAGGGCACATTTTAGGTCTAGTTGCCAGAGACATACTGCACTGTAGTTCTTGTGCATAATGCTTCAGTGACACTGTCACATTTTGTCCAAAAGCCCAAATATGTTCAGTTTAATATCATAGTGTTCTGCAGGTGTTCACAATTAGTAAATCAGACAATTTTATTTTTTATACATTTTTTCCCTATACATTTCAAAGATAAATTATCAAAATTGTTGCCAACTGTCTACTGATGAGATAAATCAATCACAAATGGTTTCAGCGCTGCTATACATGAAGGACAGTGGTTATCTCATGCAATCCCATCTGAGGTTGTGATGTGAGGCTACTGCACATGATTGGCACTGGGTGTGAGCTGCACCTTAGTGAAAATGACACCCCAGCTGTTTGGATTTTTCATTTTGCTGTGTCATGTCATTATTCATCAACTGATTAATCATTTGGTCTGTTCAAAGTCCACAAACTGAAAACACCTGTTAGTTTCCAAAACAAAAAAAAAAGTTTTGATCTCAAATCCAAAGATGTTATATTTACTACGACATAAGACCAACAACAGCCTTAAATTTTAGAAGCTGAAGTAGGTCCAGTATTTTTGCTTGAAAATGACTTTAATAAAGAATCAAACTAATCATTTCTGCTCTAATGTCAATCACAGGAAACAAGCATAATGTATAGATTTCCACACTGCAAAGGAGAAATTACAGTTCATTCAAGAGCCAAAGGGATGCTTTTCCTTGTTTTCTGACTTATCTACAATGTTACAACAGTGACTTATCATCTTAGACGTGACCTACAGATCAAAAAATGGTGTACGTATGTTCTAGTCCTTTTAAGCAGAAGAAACTCTGTTTATACATGTATCGCAAACTCGCTCACAACACTTTTTTCCTAACAATGTAAATTCTTATCTGACAGCTTAAGGATTTCCTTGAATGGTCATAATCCCCAGGCAGTTGAGTGTTCATGTGAGCTTGCCTGACATCCACTGGTGCCATTTTAAAAGGAGAATTTTTGGACTGAAAAATGATAAAGAAAAGTTTATATATTACACTGCTAATTCTACTCTATTATGTGGTACCAACCAACAGGTACATTCAGTCCCAGTAGGCCAGCGCATTTTTTACAGTGCTAAGTAGTGTTGCAGCATACCATAGTATGAAAATTAATGGTTATCATACTATGCACATTTGCTTATTCCCAATATTCAATAAAAAGTGCAATGCCTGTGCACCTTTCTTCCACAATGCCTGTCGGACTGCGCAAAGGGCACCACATGCAGCTACCAAAAGGCAGAGATGAGGAGGCTGAAATCACCAAACTCTATCCACCACATATGAAATTTAAATCAGCGGTGCAGGATTACTCTGGAAAGCTAAAGAACGAAAACCTTCCGGAACACCGTCTCCCCGTACAGGTGTGTGTCATGTTTAGAACTTTAATCCCGGTTATAAAATGCGCTATCAAAATAATTTTCCACATTGTCTATTTGTTTGCTGATCTCTGACTTACAAAAGGACTCACACTGATCCCCCCTGACCCCAGAAACACAAACTTTTCTGGCTCCCATAAATGTGTGTGAGTGAAGGTACAGACAGGTGTGGCTGCACTCTCAGGCACCTATAATAAACTAACAACTATTATGGTCATCGTTTAGAGCATTGTGACGGCAGGTCTCACTACTGTCAGAACTTTTACAAACCAGTCGATTAATGGGGAAAATATCCAGCAGGTTGATCCCTAATGAAAATAATCTGTAGTTGCACATAGATACAAAATAGTTCAGCAGAGCTCCACCTCAACCAACTACAGTCAAATCCTACTTTTAACATCAGTGCATGAGTGACAGGCCGTTAACGTAATTAGTATAACATTTTTCTGCGCGGAATAGCCTACTTCTTCTTTCAGCTGTTCCCGTTAGGGGTCGCCACAGAGAATCATCTGTTTCCACCTAACTCTCTCCTCGGCATCCTCTACTCTCACACAATTAACTTCATGTCCTCTTTTAGCACATCCATATATCTCCTCTTTGGCCTTCCTCTTGACCTCTTGCCTGGCAGCTCCATCTCCAACATCCTTCTACCAATATAACCACTATCACTCCTCTGCACATGTCCAAACCATCTCAATCTGGCCTCTCTGACCTTGTCCCCAAAAAAGCCGACCTGAGCTGTCCCTCTGATGTGCTCATTCCTAATCCTGTCCATTCTGGTCCCTCCTAAAGAGAACCTCAACATCCTCATCTCTGCTACCTCCATCTCTGCCTCTTGTCCTTTCCTCACTGCTACAGTCTCTAACTCATACAGCATAGCTGGTCTCACTACTGTCTTGTACACCTTTCCTTTGATTCTTGCCGACACTCTTCTGTCACACAACACTCCTGACACCTTTCTCCACCCACTCCAACCTGCCTGCACTC